TCTCGCCCTGCAGCGCCTGCGGCGCGACCTGCCTGGGGCCACCGGCGGCGCGCGCGGCCGCGCCCCGCCCCGGCTAACGGGCGCTCCGCGTCCCGCAATTCGCGCTTTATGGCGGCCCTTCGGCAGCGGGGGAGGGAGGGCGCCGAAGGGAGGGAAAGAGCGAAACGACTCCGTTCGGCGGCCGGATTCAAAGCTTTCCTTCTCGCCGTCCATCGGAAACACCCCAAACGGCTTTTTTACGACGCGCCGCGGAAGGATCTGTGAAAAGATGGGGTTTATTGGCGTTATTCTCGTGGTGTAGGTAGGGAGAGAAAGAGGTGCCGTGTTGTTAGGTTTACGGTAGGCCAGTGTGTTTCGCTTATTCTTGTGGAGAAACGTGTTGTGGAGAGAATCGTGACGAGGAGTATTGCATAGGTTGCATCGCTTTGCTTTTGCTGCAAGAGATTGCAGCGAGCATTGTGCTTGCATATGCTGCGTCTTCATACACGTTGCACGGTTACCGTTACGTTCCTCTGGCGTGGTCGTCAAATGCACAAAGAGTAATCAGATGTATTTGTAATTTTAGTGACATGTCTAGAATGTCGCGGAAATATTGTGAATCTTGAATATAACTCTTTCTTTTTTTTTCTTTCAGGTGAGTACACTTCCTGCTACGTTGGTTTTGCACGAGAGTACCCTCTTCCACATCATGAAAAGGAGATGTGTAAGTAGCGTTAGTTTCAATTATTTCACCTCATTGACTTAAAGCTAAAAGTGCGACATCAAAAATACGTGGTTTAAATTGTCTGACAAAGCATTTGCAGTTTCATTCCGTTTTGTATACACTTCCTTAAATCGATGTACATTGTTTACTTACAGAGTATTTTCATGTACATGATCAGATTCCTTTTACTGCCAAGCCCATACTGCTGGTCTCCGCTGTTGAAGGTTCGGTGTGCAATTTCACATTGTGCAGAATCTAAATGAAAGAGGAGAAATGAAGAAAATTCCAACCTACTAGTATCGTGTTTCACGAACAGTATTTAGGGGGAACAATATAAATTTAATTAATTGTGTAAGTTTATTCGAAATTATTTTTTATGGGTGTGAAGAAACAACTTATATTAATGTTTCTAACTATTCCTTTCTCAAGAATTTCTTAAAAAAACAACTTGCAAGCAAATACTGAATATTAATATCTTGTTTCTGGTGAAAATGTGATCTTGTTACTGCTCCAAGCCATTCGTAATAATGACAAAGACATTAGTTACAAGATTCGCCAAAATTACAAGATTCGCCGAAATCAAGATATTAACATTCATGAGTATAGGGGAGGCTGGTGCTTGAGCTGTGACTGGTATGGCGGCTGTTATTGAGATTAGCCCTTCAATAGATAAAACTCGGAATTGCAAACAGAATGGGAAAGATATCGGACTACCAGTACATCTGAAATAGTTCACACAAATGTCAACATCAGCCAAAAACCTTCTGGTTTTCACAGATCTCGTCAAATATGGAACACGGCTAATCGCATGCACACGGAACGTGGAAAACTCTTCCCCTTCAGGCAGAACGTGATGCACTTACCCGACTGGGGTGATGTACCCTCAGAGAGATCACCACATGGTAAAGCAGAATCACAACATCCTGAGGGATCCATTGGATTTCTGCTTTTAACACCAAAGGACATCGAATGGATTAAAAACTGAATATCTCTCTTTATGATTTTGAAGAACGGCTTCTTCAGTTTTTATTTTTAGATTATTTTTTTGCTTTCTCTATATTAAGTAGATTTCTGTCATTTTAAGCCGTATGTGTTTGCCAAAAGCTGAATAGGTAACGAGAGCTGCATATTCCGTGGCGGCGATGGTGTAATGGTTAGCGTATCGGACAGGTATACCCAAGGTTCAAACCCGATCGACGCCTTCCTTCGTACCGGTAAAGTAAAGCCGGCTGTCCCATGTTAGTAGATTTACTTGCACGTAAAAGATCCTCAAGCCTAAATGAC